GCAGAACCGAGGCGAGAGTCGGAGTTGGGAGGCAGTACGGTCCCAGATCTCAGCCACACAGCTCCCGTCATTCTGCTTAGAGCAGCGCCCTCAGCCTAATGCAGCCCGAAAGGCTCTTTCTATTGGAGTTGACCATACCCATGTCCCCAGTGAGCCCTGAACCAGTTGAGAGAAATAAACAGAAGAATCAGGTGAGATCCTCGTCCTGAGAGGTAGCAGATTGGTCTTGAGTGGACAGTGGGGCTTCCAACCCTCTGTTCAGTTCACCCACCAAGCGACAGAATAGCTGGACAGCTGAGGGTCTCGGCCCCCAGAGGCAGGGCGTCTTCCTCGTGGGCAGAGAGAAGTACCAGGATAGGACGTTTCCTCCCAAACCATTCAAGAAAGCAAAATCCCTCTCCTGGGCTTAGCAGTAATGTGTCGAGAGACAAGAAGGTTTGCCCTGCCTTCTCTCTCCCCAGTGCCTGAGTCCACATTTCAGAAAACCTGATCGTCCCAGCTATGATCAGGGAGTTACGTGTGGTCAGTCAACTATGCGAGGGAGACAAATATGACACAGGGCCGCTGGGACCTATTTCTCTGCATCAGCGGGTCCTTCCTGGAGAATGGGGCAGCTGTGGGATGCTTCAGAGTCTTCTCCGGCTGAGGAACAAAGGCAAAGCCACCACTGCGTGGTACAGAAATGAGCACGTGTACGTGTACTTCAAGTGAGAGTGACCATGGGAGCTAGGGATTTACGGAAGACTTCCTGGAGAAGGCTCAGCTGGCGTGGGAAGTGGGTCAGAGGTGACTGGAAGCTATACTCACTCAGCTGTGTAAGAACGAGGGGATCCAGGTGACATTCTCTCCAAGTCTTTTACCTTTCCAAGGAGGCTGCTTTTATTATCGGTTGTTTGATTTTTGTTACTGCTGTCATTGCAAAAGCAATACTGTGCATCACAGGAAAGAAATATCCCAAAATACTGATAAGCCAGGGGACTTGTTATGTTAAGAGTCGCTTTTAAGGAAGAAAACTTGGAAACACCTCCATGAGGGGCCATCCAGTCGGGAAGGGCCGAGTGAATGGTGGTGGGTCCAGCCCGTGGGCTCAAATACAGGGCTGAAAACGAACAGACAGACCTGTGAGCCCAGGGACGGCGGTGATAGGGCCGAACAACTTGCACAGCTGTGCAAACGGTATCACTTGTCACTTGTTTAAAGATGTGTGCACAGGAAGTGTGTGTGCGCACACGCGCACGTGTAATGTGTGGGAAAAGGAAGGAGACAACGGACCACGAATGGTAATTGCCTCTCGGAGGTGGGGCTGGGAAAGGTGGACGGTCCTCACTTTCCACTCTAGAAGCGACCGTATTGTTTCTATTTTCCTTACGATAACTGGGTATCTCTCCAAGAATAAAAACATGTGTTAATAGTAGCCTTAAGTTTGCCAGAAAATTGAGACTTTGGGAACATCTCATCCCAAACCACACCATCTATCTCTTTAATTGTCTAATTGACTTCCGACGGGGTTAATCAATCTATTTCTCATTGTGGTCATAAAGTTTTATTTACTTCAAGAGACAGGAATTGGCCAGTTCCTTTTTAAAAATTTATTTATAAAATTCGTTCAGTTACAAGAGAGTTAAGCCAATGCGTCCTTCCTGTGAGCTATCCTAAGAATGTGTACCTGTCTCCGCTTAGCCATGACTCCACTTTGGTGCTATTATTCGTGACTATATGCCTGTGCTTGACCCTGAAACTTCCCTCGGCAGCTTGAAGAAATGACCCTGTTTTCCCATCCCTGGATCCCCAGCCCCCAGCACAATATTTAGACTAGATGTTTAATAACTTCCAGTTAAATGGGTGTAAAAACTAACGAAGGAAAAAATTAGAAGAACTTTCTCTGGTCCAAAAACAAAAATGTTTCTGTGGAAGGGAAAAGGAAAAAACCATGTATGCAGGAGATGATTAGAACTCTGGTGTGAAGAGCCTATTGTGATACCGTCGGATCATACAATAGCTCTCACACTTTCTTGCAAATAACCAGATAATTGATCACAGTGTTAGTTGCAGTATTAGTCACAACTCCTTGTTGCTACTCATGGAACATTTAATTTAGATGTCTTAGGGAAAGGAGAAATTTATTAGCTCTTAGAACTCACAAAATATGAGGGGGAGATTCTGCCTTCAAGGATCACTATTAAATGTCTTGAATAAGGTTGAAAGAACTCCCTTTCTACCTCCGGTGGTTCTATGTTGTCTTCTCTCTCAGGCTGACTTTCTCTGTGTGCTTGCAAATGGCCACCACCAGCCCCAGATTTGCGTCCGACCACCTCCAAGTCCAATAGAAAGAGAACTCCTTCTACCTAAGGGTTCTAAAATAAGTATGTCCCGGAATTTTGAGTTTCAGTCCTGGGTGGCCTAACTTGGGTTACATGCTCATCGCCAGATCCTGGGAAGGGGAGACCCTGATTGTCCGGGCCTAAGCCACATGACCATCCCTCCATCATGGATAGAGTCAACGCTACCTGAACTCCACCTGGGCTGAGAGTGAGGAAGGGGTGAGGCCCCCCAAAGAATGATGGCATGGGTCCAAGGGGAAGAGGGAGTGGACACTGGGAAAGCAGAACAGCACGTGTCCACTACAGTTGGTGCTTGAAGCTGTCCTGTGGGGTGTGTCCATAGTAACCTGCACTGCGTGTTGGGGCAGGGCGATGCTGGGAGGAATTCACAGCTGTGTTAGATAGCAATCCCACAACCACACTCAGCCCCCAGTTTGCTTCATGGGGCAAGATCAGCTGTTCTTTAGGGAGAAGCCATGCCCAGGATCATACACTAAATGTTCTAGCAGGACGGATAGGAAAACTGGTCAGATCTTCTAGGTTAACAGTACTGAAATAGGAATACAGACGACCCATTGAACAACAGCAGTTTTTGCTGTGTGGATTATACACAGATTTCTTTCAATAAACATAGCACAACACTATATATATATATATTTTTTCTCTTCCTTATGATTTTCTTTTGTCTAGCTTACTTTATTGTGAGAATATGGTATGTAATACATATAACATACAAAATATGTGTTAATCGATTATTTATGTTATCAGTAAGGCTTCCAGTCAACAGTAGGCTATTAGTAGTGAGCTTTTTGGGGAGTCAAGTTATACATGGATTTTCAACCACATGGGGGTTGGGCACCCCTAACCCCCACATTGTTCAAGGGTCAACTGTAAAGAGCCTTAAAATGTTTATACTCTTTGACTTACTTCTTGTAATCTAGCATTCAAAAAATAGTCAAATTGTATCGAAAGCTTCTTGAATACAGATGTTCATCGCAGTGTGATTTGAAATTGTCGAAAATTTTTAGAGACTAGAAATAACCTAAAGTCCTAATAAGAGAAGATGATGAAGTAAATTATAAATTATGCATATCATTATATTTTATGCAGCCCTTAAAATGATGTCAGGAATTGATATTGGTCGGTGACATTACATGGGGAAAGTGGCTATTGAGTTTGCCATGATCTCTTCAATATTGGAAAAGCTCATGTAATTTCTTATTTTTATGATTCAATGCTTCCAAAATCATGTAATGTTTTATTAGAAAAGTAAAAATGTTATACTAGAAATTAGACCTGGCTAGTGGTTGTATTGTCCAGAGACACTCAGGAAAGACTTTGAAAATGGGCCCAATCTACTGGTTTCATATGGTCCAGCTGCAGAATTTATGGCAAATAGTAAATCCAATCGAACTTGTGGGTGATGGTAAGTAGAAAGTCACTCAAATTAAGCTGATGATTTTCTAGCTTTAGCTTGAGAGTAGATGGAACTGAACCAGGCACAACCAGAATCACCTAGAGCTAGATTTGGTGTTAAATTCTGTTTGCACTCAGCAGTTAGACAATTATGTGACCTTCCATCCCGGTGGAGCTCATTTCACAATACATACACGTATCTAGTCAGCGTAGGTACACCTTAAACATACACAATCTTATATGTCAACTATATTTCAATAAAGCTGGGGACTGGGAAACATGAATAATCCTGTCCAAGGAGTGTCTCAGCATCCCAACTCCCATCAAATCTAAGAGTTTAGAGCTTTCTAAACCATATAACAGAGCTCCTACTCCTTAAGTTAGTAGCTCAGTAGCTCTTAGTTAAGAAACAACCAATTAAAGGTGCCCTAGGGAGCCATACACCCTTTAAAAATACTGGGAAGATTTAGGGATAGCATAGCATTGAGCTATTAAAATTTACCGTGTAAACTCTTGGTTTTAGAAGGAAATTCTAGATCCCCACTGTGTTTTTGTTTTTGGCTCCCCAAGGTATTTCTTCATTGTTGGTTGGTATAAGCAATAGCCTTTGAAGCGGTCATACCAGCAGGACAATTTGCAACTGGTAGGACCTTTTATTTGTATTATTGAAGGTGATTCAACTTGAACTCTGTGAGTGATTAAGAAAACACTCCAAAATGGTTTAAGCAGATAAGGAAAATTAATGCCATAATTAGCTAAAAATGGGAACCATATATGCGCCTTAATACACAGTTGGAAAGATTAAGTACAAAGTCCAGTACCCAGTGCCTGGCTAGCAGGTTGTTCAGTAACTGTGAGTTCCCAGAGCTGCCATCTTTGTCCCCATCTCATCATCACACTTAACCTCCACTGTAGACCAGTTTCATGAGGTCACTGTGAAATAACAGAAGTGGGTGTGGACGTCAAACATGCATTGTATCCCCTAAAGCCTGGAAATGAAACAGTCTGGAATGTCTCAAATGCCCTGTTAAATAAGGACAGAAAACAGATTCCGTCCCCACGACTGTATCCGGTCTATGAATCGTGACAGTCTCGTACTGGAGAGAGTCCAACGACACAGTTATGGAGAACAGGTGCAGGCTCTGTGGGTGTGAGATGCCTGCCCTGACAGGGGAGGGGGTGGCGTGGCCCCCACGACCCCTGTATCCCAGGTGGCAGCCCAAACCTAAATGCCATCTTGTCTGCCGTGTTTTTGCTTTACAGACTCTGGAAAATCCCAAGTATGAATTGATCATCGAGGCTCAAGACATGGCTGGACTGGATGTCGGGTTAACAGGCACGGCCACAGCAACAATTATGATCGATGACAAAAACGATCACTCACCAAAATTCACCAGGAAAGAGGTAAACGGCCTCTGCCCACCAGCCCGGCTGTTCACAGCCATGATTGTTGATGGGTATTCATTCCATGTACTACAGCCCCTGCTGCTCCCGGTTTGCACATGAAAACCCACCTTGTGGGAAATGGGGTGTTGTTTTGCTCTTGCGTACTTTTTCATGTTTGTGTCTTTTGTGTGTACATAAAGCTGAAAAGAGCGTTGTGAGAACAAAAGCACTGAATCTTGTTAAAGTCCATAAGAAAGTAACTTTTAATGCCAAAGTGCCATTTTCCTAGTTTTATCGGTGTTATTTAGCACTGGGTTATGTGAGGCCTGTTGTGATTTTAGCATAACAATAAGTTTTTTTTTTCGGCAAGTGCAGATTGAGAGGGCAGACTGAACAGCAGCTAGAAGGTAAAGCAGATTTTCTTGGCAATAACAAGGTGGCCCAGGAGCTTATAAATTACAACCAAGTTAGCTTGTCCAGAAGAGCCATTATTTATTCTGGGCTCTTGTGCTTTTATGATTATGGATCATGGTTGCTGGTCCCCATTTATTCCAATGGAGCAATGTTTGGGGATGGGCTGAGTACACAAAATTGCATTCCCCAGTTGCTGCATTTGTATCCAAACCAGGAAGTTATTTGCACCTTGCATCTGATGGAAATATGATAATGCCATGGTTTCTTTGGGGGATCAGGGCCTGAGCCAAGGATTTGACACCCCTCTTACTGACCAAGAGCATAGAATCAGTAAAGATAGCCTGTGTCATTGGCTGAGACTTTGCTGTGCATCTGCCACCACCAACGGGGCTCTCCACCTGCGATTCTTTGCCTCGTTTGACTGTGTGAGGTTGGTTTCATTAACCACCCTTTACCAGTAAGGGAGCTTATTTGCAGCTCAAAGAATCTGGATGACCGAGATGACTGCTCCAAGGTCACGGGCAGAGTCGGTGACAGAAATGGGATGTGAACACGGTTCCCAGGGAGCCATGCAACTAACTGCAGTATTATGCCTCCTTATCTGTGGTTCATGTTTTCCACCTTCCCTGACATTCAGGGGGAAAAAAGGGCGCATATGTCTGGATTTGCATTTGCCCCACCCCTCTCTCCAGAGTCCCAGGGCTACTCCAGATGGTTCAGGAGAGGTGGGCCCTCTCTATCCCAGCAGCCCTGTGTGCGTGACACATTCAGGGTGGAAATCTCCCCCTCTCCCGGGGGGTCTTGGGCACTCAGGATTCCAACCTCCACATGGCAGAGGCCAAAGTAACTGATATGACTTCATTCTTTTGCTTCCTATAACATGTTCCTATGACTGCTAAAACAGATTGCTCACTATTCCCAAGTTGCCCAAGCTGGTATTCCAAAAAACTGGTTCCATGAGTTACATCACTGTGGGGCAAGGGAAGACTTCACGGTCAACTAGATGTGGGGGACCCTGAGCTGAATAGAAAAAAAAGATTTACTGCAGCACTCCCAGGTACCTTTAAAATGCTTTGTTTCTCTAAGAGGGGTAGGGATAGACTGTAGGGTTTTTCAGACTTATTTCGCCCAGGGAATAACTTTTCCTGGGCCACCTCGTCATGTCTCACTGAGCTGGTGTCCCATGTGGCTACTGGTTTACCTGCAGAATTTCTATTTCCAATGTTTTTTCCAAAGCTATTTACAAAAAAGTACTAAAGGCATGTTTTCATATTCAATATAGATATAGTAATGAAAATAAAGATTACATAACCCCAATCTAAAAATAAGAAGACCTATCAATGTTGCCAGGTGTCTGACTAATTAGTTACTTCAGTGCAGCCCTGAATTTAGCTCCTGTGACTCAGGAAACAAGCAGTATGTGCCTAGTCATGAACTAAATACCATGAGGGAGAGATTTGTGTTGTTGTTGTTAATACCACTGACTCCAAGGAAAAATTTAACGTAGATCTTAAGTAAAGAGTAAGAGACACTGAGTAGTGTCATGGAAAATATATGCACCTGTGGATATCAGCAAAAGCACAGAACTTCTCTTCAAATGGACATTTGACAACAAGCTTTAGATTCCCACAGGGCAAAAGTGATGTCTCAACTCATACAGAGATATAAGAAATAAAATGAGACGAATGGGTAACTAGCAAGTCCATGAAACTCTCCCTCTTGGGTATCAGATGTCCCAAAGTAGTCTTTGTCCAATGCTGGATAAAGGAAGTTCACAGATTTTCTTAACATATTCCTGAAAGGCTGATTTCTTTGTTGTTGAAAAGGGATTTATACATTTTGGATGCCAGAGTTGCCAGAGGTAGCATAACACAGAGGGGAAGAGATGGGCTCTGGAACCAGAACAGGATTCAGATCCCACCACGGATATGAGCGTGTTAACCCTTTACGTTCTAGTTTCTTCACCTGTTGGTGGGGCTGACAATAAAGCCTACCTCACTAGGTTCTTGTGAATATGAAATGAGCCGGTGATGGAAAGCGTTTAGATAGTGCTGGTCACCTACTGTTCACTAGCGTGTTGCTGATGAGAACAGTGGTAATAAGGAAGGCGATGGTGAAGACAGTGGTGGGATGAAAGCAGTGACGAAGAAGATGGCGGTGAGCAAGATGGTGGTGGTGAACAAGATGATGATATGATGATGATAATGTTTCTAAAATGTAAAAGGTCAACTGACATTCGTAATCCAAAGGGGCATGTCTTCCCATGTTGAAAGGCTGCTGTTTTCCTCTAATGTGATCTATGAACCCGCTCATTTGAAATCAATGGTTTAGACCCTAGAGTTCAAGGGGAGAAGGAATTTTGAAGGACAGGTGGCAGAATCAGTAAAATACATCACTGTGAACAAAAGCAAAACAGACCAAGAGAATGGGGCGCCTGGGTGGCTCAGTCGTTAAGCGTCTGCCTTTGGCTCAGGTCATGATCTCGGGCTCCTGGGATCGAGCCCCGCATCGGGCTCCCCGCTCCATGGGAAGCCTGCTTCTCCTTCTCCCACTCCCCCTGCTTGTGTTCCCTCTCTTGCTGTGTCTTTCTCTGTCAAATAAAATCTTTAAAAAAAAAAAAAAAAAACAGGCCAAGAGAAAGCTGCTAAGGGGGGAAGGAGAAGTCCTGAGAAGAGCTCAGCCCAGTGCAGTGGTCTCTGGGATGTGGAAGAAGTGGGACAGTAGGCTATACAAGGAGCAGAGAAGAAACATGGCGCGTGTGATCTTGAAGCTGAAATAATGTTTAGAGAGGGAAGTCGAGGTTTAATCATTCCAGAATGGAAATGGTGGTCATTTGGGTTTGAGGATGTCTAGAAAAATTGTCCAAGATGTTGTCTTATATAGGTTTCTATGTATATTAAGACATTTCTTAGGAAGTTCACAGGAATATATGGTTGTTTTGTTGGTTGGTTTGTTTGAATTCTTTTTGACGTGATCTTCCTTCTGTAGAGATATTAGTTTTCTCATCTCTTTGAAAGAGAAGTTATGTGTGGCCACAAATAAGAGCAACTGGAAATAACACTGTGTTAAAGGAGGTAGAGGTATGGTTTCTTTCACATGAGAATGTGTAGGTAGATAGTCCCAGGCCAATGTGCTGACACCATGACATCACCATGTCCCTGGTTCCTCTTATCTTTCTTCTCCACCTTCTCCAAGCCTGCCTCAGAGTACAGTAGGGTCACTGCAGCACTAGCCATTGTGTCCACATCACAGGAAGAAAGGATCAGGAAATGAGAAGGGCAAAGAAGGACCTGGCCCCTAGGTAAATGTCATTTGAAGAGCTTCCCCAGAAACCCACATCCCCTTAGCCTCCCTTATCTGTAAGGGAGCGTGAGAAATAATTCCATCTTGAGTTGGCATGTTGCCGCCCTGACAATACAGCGGTGGTTCCTGAGGAAGGAGATATTTTAAAGGTTATTTTTAAAAGTAAATTCTTAGCACAAAGTCAGGTCATCTGTGTGTTCCATTGTATTTGTTTCCATGGACTATAAGCTTGCTGAGAGGCAAGGCCACATCTCTCTTATTCTTGGTCACGGTCCGAGTAGGCACTCAATAATTCAGTATTTGCTGAATGCTTCCTGAAGATCATCTTAACATTAGAACTGTGTCACTGGGTAGGATGAGCCATGGACATACTTAAAATTGATACATGAATTCAATTTTTATCATTGACTTTTGCGAATATTTGGGTTGGAAGCTTTTGTCTCCCTGTGGAGAGTCGTCTTTGAGTTTTCCTAATAGTTTTTACACAAAGATTCGACTAAATGTTAGTTTCAGACATTGAGTTTTTCTTCATTTTTCCAATCAATTAATTTTCAGGTTTTACCTTAATATGGCAATTGGTGATTTAAACTTAATAACTTAGGATTTTTTTTAGCTATTTGATGAATTCTAAGGTAAATGTTGCCATGTTTGAGCTATCACATTACAACATCTGTAATAAAACTGTCATACAACTTAAAAGGTCCTGTCCTCCAGCTGGCAGATGAGAGATGGGTAAACACTGTGGTTTTCATAGAGGGGTGAAGGTAAATGGCATGAACAGGAAGCCGGCGAACTGAAACTGAGCCACGGGCAAATGCTCGCATTGGGTTATCAAGTGGGTGTGGAGGGTTGGGCTCCAAATCCTAAAAACCAGTGTTGGGTCTTCAAGAAACCTTGATGCCTTGGGAATCTTATTTTTCTTTGGACTATTAGCTGTTACAATAAAATATTTAATAGTTAACTGCCTAATTCACCCTGTAATGCCTTTACTCTTACACATTTGATGGCAAACTCTGTGGTCTTATCTTTATATAATAACTATGAAATATCACTTCTATAGAAAGAGAACAAAAAGTCTAGTCTTTCCCCTGGTAGGGTTGATAGGAACTTGCTCTGTATGACTGAGATTTTAGAAACATGTTTTTTCACCTTCACGACACATTTCATAGTTGGAAAACATATAAATTTTGAGAAGTGTTAAATTTGAGAAAATATCAAGTTTCTCATTCAAGTGTGTATACACACACACAATTATATACAATATACACAAATAGTAATTGTACAATTTCAAATGCTTTTGT